CCCTGCTCGGCAGGGAGTCTGCTTCTCCCTCTGACCCTCCCCCTCTCATGTGCTCTGCCTCATTCTCTCTCTCTCAAATAAATAAATAAAATCTTAAAAAAAAAAAAAAAAGATTGAGCAACCAAAATAGGTTTTTGTTTGCTTGCTTGTTTTTAATGAAGTGAAAAATCCTTTGAATTTCATACCTAGAAATTATTACTGCTGCATACAGGAGCACTGTTCTAGGTATTGGGGAAAAGCAGTGAACAGAACAGACAACACCTCTTCTGTCATGGGGTTTGCATTCTGGTGGGACAAGATGAAAAATAAATATGTCAGGTAATGGTAGGTGCTCTTTAGAAAACAAAGCAGGCTAGGTGACGAGTGATGGTGGAATAGAATGCTAATTAGGTAAAGTGGTTGACATAGGGACAGGAAGGAACATGGAGACAGGAAGGAACCCCTTGTGGCTGGAGTTGAATAAACAAGGGGGAGTGTGTTAGAAGATGAGATCAAAGAGATGTATAACAAAACTATTGCGCTTTGAATTCCATGTGAAGAACTTTGGATCTTATTTAGAATGACATGAGAAGTTGGTGGAGGATTTTAAGCAGAGGTGTGACATGGTATGGCTTTCCTTTTGAAGTGAGCAGGCTAGATTTGTAGGCAGACTCTAAGGGGTTGAGAATGGAAGCCAGGGGAACAGTTAAGAAACTGTTGTGATAATCTGGGTGGAAGATGATGTTGGCCTAGACCAAGATAGTGTCTCTGGGGGTGGTGGGAAGCAGTTGCATTCTAGATATATTTTGAAGGTAGAGCCAACAAAATTTGATGATAGACTGGATGTGAAGTGTGAGGGACAAGTCAAAGTCGGGGTTTTTGGAAGGGTGGAATTGCCATTTACTGAAATAGGGTGGAGCCAGCTTGAGGGGGTGAGAATCAAGGTTTGGTTTTGGCTATATTGAGTCTGAGATGCCCAAGAGACGCATCCAAATAAAGATATGGAGTAAGTGAATAGATCTAGGAGCCTCAAATTCAAGAGAGAAGTATTTAAAGCTGTTGAACTGGATGAGATCAGCTAGAGAGTGAGTGAAAAAATTGAAAATACCTTTTTGCAAATAGAGTTAAACACTGAGGAATCAAGGTGGATGTTCACCATCGGACAGTCAGTGAATCAGTGGAAGAGTTTGAAATTGGACTGAAGACTCCTGCTTCCTTTTACAGAATTGGTCATTGTATCCTACTCCAAGGCATGTGTACACCACCTTGCACCTGGAAGACCTTAGTATACTTCTCAGGGGAAAGATCCCATCAGTCACCCACTTACAAGCATGTAACCTGATGGTCTCAGTACGGTGCAGTGTCTTTCTGTCTTCTATCTTTACCTACTTTCTTGATGTCTTTTTCCAGTTCACCATTCTAATTGGCTTCTCTGATCTGTCCTGATGATACGCATCATCTTCTTTACCTGTGGGGTCATTAATAATATTTAGCTTATTGAAGGTTCTAAAGATGCCAAATGCCTTCCTTAAGGGGGTGGCTAGTTGAAAAGGTGACTCAGAAGAAAAAATAGGATAATGAAAGTATGCAATTACATATTAACAGACTTATAAAACATGCAGAATAAATTTCAAATGTTGGAGAGGTCTGTGAACATGAATGCTGAGGGATGGTTAGGGCAATGGGGGCTGACACCAAACCAAATGAGGTTTATCAGGAAAGACTTCACAGAGAATGTGAATCTTACACTTCAGAGAGAAGGGTACATTTTCCAAAGGATAAACTTTCCTTGATAGAAACAAAGGCTGGGGTCGGAAGAGGGAACTGGGAAGTAATATAGATAAATGCTGGAAAGCCTTGATGCATACATTCAGGCATTCTAAACGGATTCAAGATAACCCTGAATGGGAGCTTCTAGAGAGGAGTAGAACATGATCAAAATGTGTAGTTTTAAGAGAACAACTCTCTTTGTCCTTAAAAGTAAATTGTATCAAGGGGTGCCTGGGTGGCTCAGTTGGTTAAGTGTCTCACTGCGTTTCAGCTCGTCATGATCTCAGCATCCTGGGGTCAGGCTCCGCACTCAGCAGGTAGTCTGCCTGTCTCTCTCTCTCTGCCTGTCTCTCTCTTCCTCTCCCCATGCTCACAGGCTCTCTCTTTTTCTCTCTAAAATAAATAAATCTTTTTAAAAAGTAAATTGTATGAAACATGAGAAAATTATGGAAATGGAAACTGAGAAGTCAGTTCTGTTATGAATATATGAAAATGACACAATATACACAGATCTTTAGCATTTTTAAAAACTAATATTCCCTCTTAAAGAATCAAAGCCACAAAGACTAGCTTTTTCGAACCGTGGAAGCAAAGAGTAAATATTAGTATCCATTATTACTAAATACTTTTGCAAAGCTCATGGCATCTCAGGAGAAGCACTTCACACACCTAAATTCTTGGCAGTCACCACCCTGTGTCTCAGCAGTGACTAAGCTGATACTTGCTACAGTAGGTGTTTCCTTCTGTTGAAAGAAGGAACTTTGAAGGCAAACACCTCCTTCCTCAGTATAGAGCTACCCTCAGGAGGTGACACTAGAACCATCTATTCCAGAATCTTATTTTAATGGTTATTTGTTTATTTTTATTCAGTGTAGTTAACATAGTGTTATATTAGTTTCAGGTGTACAATACAGTGATTCAACACTTCCATATATTACTCAGTGCTCATCAAGAAAAGTGCACTCTTAATCCCCTTCACCTATTTCACCCATCACCCCACCCACCTGCCCCATCTCTTTGTTCTATATATGTTCTATATAGTAATATATAGTCTTTTTCTGGTTTGTCTCTTTTTTCCCTTTGTTCATTTGTTTTCTTAACTTCCATATGAGTGAAATCATATGGTTTTAATAGTTCTTCAATAAATGAAAGTCATTCACTTAAATCATACAGTATAATGTCAGAATCATAATATAGATTTAAGCCTAGCAATTGCTGTGTTTAAGAGCTGTGTTGCCACCCAGAAAAGCTTTAAAGCAAGAATGAGTAGTACTGGACCTGATATAACAAAATCTTATGGCTGATATTAATTATCTTTTTTTTAAAGATTTTATTTATTTATTTGACAGAGAGAGAGGAAACACAAGCAGGGGGAGGGGGAGAGGGAGAAGAAGGCTTCCCACAGAGCAGGGAGCCTGATGCGGGGCTCCATGCGGGGCCTCGATCCCAGGACCCTGGGATCATGACCCCAGCCAAAGGCAGACTTAACGACTGAGGCACCCAGGCGCCCTATTAACTGTTATCTTGAACTGTGGTAAGGACCCTGGATAATTTTCCCAAATGGTCAGGTCTTGACCCCTCAAGCGTCTGTGTTGTTAGTATCTCAGCTGTATTCTTCATCTAAAAGCCATTTGTAGGTGCCTTCAAACTAGAGGCATCTATTCCGCTCTGACCACAAACCTCACACTATCGTTTGGGACTGCAGTGTGATCCTTCCAGGCCTTCTGATAAAGTACCTGGCTGTTGACCATGGTTAAAAAAAAAAAAAAAAAAATCCCTTCTGCCATGTTCAAAATACTGGTTGGAGGGGCGCCTGGGTGGCTCAGTCGTTAAGCGTCTGCCTTCGGCTCAGGTCATGATCCCGGGGTCCTGGGATCGAGCCTCGCGCTGGGCTTCCTGCTCCCAGGGAAGCCTGCTTCTCCCTCTCCCACTCCCCCTGCTTATGTTCCCTCTCTCACTGTGTCTCTGTCAAATAAGTAAATAAAATCTTTAAAAAAAAAAAAACAGCAACAAAATACTGGTTGGAGGTGGTGGCGATGGTGGTGATGGAAGCTTTCGATTAAGTGATAAGCCACTGTCATCTTTGAGGTGGGCCACAGCCTCTAAAACCGGCAGCCAAGTTTGTACCCAGTATAAGGTGATGAAATATAGCAGAGAGAGCCATGTAGTAATTATCCTTTATTCCTCGAAGAGCTTGGGTATTTGTGCCCTGTTTCTTTGTCTGTCCTGCTATGGCAGATAGTGAAAGCATTAGGAAATTTGGAGGCAAAGGGACCCGGGTTTGGTCTTAGCCGGGGCCAGGTGCAGGGGCACAGCCACACTTACGTTTTGGGTTTTCCTGCAATGGAGGTTGGGCTGTGACTGTTGGATTTAAGTATGAACCACCTTGCGGATTAACAGATGACATAAGCAGGTAAGGACTTTAAGTCAATTTTAATGAAAATCTTATTTTATATAATTTTTTTTAAGGTTTTATTTGACAGAGACACAGCGAGAGAGGGAACACAAGCAGGGCAAGTGGGAGAGGGAGAAGCAAGCTTCCCGCTGAGCAGGGAGCCGATGGGGGGCTTGATCCCAGGAGCCTGGGATCATGACCTGAGCGGAAGACAGACGCTTAACGACTGAGCCACCCAGGCGCCCCTTATTTTACATTAACGTTAACAGAGGAAAAGTCTACGATTCTGGGCACGGAAACATCCTATTTCCATTCAGCCTTTGGAAAACTCACGTAAAGCGTAAAGCGAGGACGAACGCCCCCCAGCGGGCACCGCCCCCGCTTGGCTCCACCCCTGCCAAGGCCCCGAGTCCTTGCTATTGGTTCCTTTCCCTGCACCGTTGGTTGCCGTGGAGACCAAGGCTATGGCAACCAGGAGAAGCCAAACTTGGTCCTTCCTCTCGAACCGCGTAGGGGTCCCGGGAAAGCGGCCGGAATCCGCGCGGCGTTCATGGCGCTTTACGAGCTCTTCTCTCACCCGGTGGAGCGCGGCTACCGCGCGGGGCTCTGCTCCAAGGCCGCTCTGTTCCTGCTGCTGGCCGCCGCGCTCACGTACATCCCGCCGCTGCTGGTGGCCTTCCGGAGCCACGGTGAGCCTGCTCGCAGCCGCTGCGCGCACAGCTCCCCAAGGCCCGCGGTGCCCGTGCTCGCCTTCCTGACTTCTTCCCCACCGCCCTCTCTACCTCAGGGTTTTGGCTGAAGCGGAGCAGTTACGAGGAGCAGCCGACCGTGCGCTTCCAGCACCAGGTGCTGCTCGTGGCCTTACTGGGACCGGAGCGCGGCGGGTTCCTGGCCTGGAGCACGTTCCCCGCCTTCAACCGGCTGCAGGGGGATCACCTGCGCGTCCCGCTGGTTTCGGTGCGTGGTTTCCGTCGGGGCCTAGAGGCCCACCGGAACTGGGCGGGGTGGCTGGGGGTGGCGGGGAGAGGGCGAGCGGCCCCGGCCGGGGTAAGCCCAGGTTGGGTCTTAAGGGTTCGTGAACCCACGGAAGTTGTGTACACAGGCGCATTGGCCTGAGCATGTTTAATGTCCCGGGAAGTGACTCTTGTTTCGTTCGACTTCTCCAAGCAGTCCACAGGCCCAAGAATGTTAGCCACTGCTGTCAGCATGTCCTACAGAAGCTTGGGGAGGGCCTGTCTCTGGCTCCCCGTCATTTCCGTGGGCCTGGCCTGATGGTTGGGTGGTCACGAAACTTTGAGTCACGAAGGCCGGCCGAGCGCTTTTCTTAGGAATTATCCCAGCGTGTCGCTGCAGCTGCACTTCGCAGCAGGGACCACCCGTCAGGGCACGCATTTTTTATGCAGACCTGACACGTGGAAGCCGAAGCGCTGATTGGTTAAGCGACCTACCCAGAATGTGCTGGGGTCCCAGTCCCCCCTGCCTGGCTTGTAGGATTAGATGCTGCTCCATCTTGCAGTTGTCCAGGATGAAAAGGAAGCATTTTACTGTCTTTAATTTAGTATTTGGTTCAGGATGAGTGAGTGCTTCCTTTACAATCATTCCCTTTCTGCTCATTTTCTGAAAACATTTTCCTTTAGAAGTATGAAAATTCTATTTTTTCTTCTTCCAAAGTCGAATCTCTTTACACATCTCAAGAGATGATTGGCCTACAAACCAACTTGTGTACCTGAAAAAAAAAATTCAGACTTTCTTCAAGCAACTAAATAAAATGAAAAAAAAATTTTTTACATCTGATTGGTCATATGAATAACTACAAACAAAATATGATTATTACTTCTTTCTGATTACTTTAAATTTTTTCTGATTATAAAAATGCATGCTCATTGTAAAACATTGAAGAGTTAAAGGTATACATAATGACATAAAATTAAAGGTTGGGTTTGGGACATGTACATTTGCTAATCAACCTTATTCTTTTTAAGATCTGCATAAAATTTTCATGATATGGAAAAACTAATGGATTTAACCAGTTCCCTGTTGGTGAATATTTGATGGGCTTTTACTTTTTCCCTATTAGAAAGAATACTGCGGTGAACAAGATTTTGAATAAATCTTACACTTTTAAACAGCAAATTGTGAGGAATTGCAATGCGTTTGTTGAAATGGTACCAGTAAATAGAAAACTAAGCAAGCAAATAATTATTAAATCCAGAGAATTAAAAAGTAAGGAAAACGGAGAAAGGAATAGGATTTGCATAGTCATAAATATGTGAACACCGAATATTGATTGACTAACCAAAATGAGAGTTTAACTCATTTGGGGGGCTGGAGGGAAGAAAACAACCTTCATCTCTTCTCATGGGAAGTCAGTAGAGAATGCTTGAAACTGAGAAATCCAGAATTGCCAGTGCACAGGTTATTTAAAGACATGGAGGGGGTTCCTGGGTGGCTCAGTCAGTTAAGCGTCTGCTTTCGGCTCAGGTCATGATCCCAGAGTCCTGGGATCGAGCCCCATATTGGGCTCCCTGCTCTGCGGGGAGTCGGCTTATCCCTCTCCCTCACCCTCTGTGTGTGCTCTCTCTCTCTCTCTAGCTCTCACTCTCTCTCAAATAAATAAAATCTTTTAAAAAAAAATAAAGACATGGAGCTAGATTTCTAAATAATCAGGCAAATGAGATGAAAATATTTGCCATGGGGCTGGAAATCTGCTGGGTTTTGCAAGAAACATTGTTGAACACTTTTTATTCTTAAACGATCAGGTCTTTCAAATTGATTTTTAAAAGTAGGACTGGAGTAGGAGACAAATTTCCGTCAATAACTCCTCACTAATCATGACATGTTGCCCAATTATTTTTTTTTTAAGATTGTATTTATTTATTTGACAGAGAGAGAGCACAAACAGGGGGGAGCAGCAGGCAGAGGGAGAAGCAGGCTTCCTGCTGAGTGGGGAGCCTGATTCAGGGCTTGATCCCAGGACCCTGGGATCATGACCTGAGATGAAGGCAGACGCTTAACTGATTGAGCCACTCAGGCGCCCCAGCCTGTTTTTATTCCTTTTTTTTTTTTTTAAGATTTTATTTATTTATTTGACAGAGAGAGACACAGCGAGAGAGGGAACACAAGCAGGGAGAGTGGGAGAGGGAGAAGCAGGCTTCCCGCTGAGCAGGGAGTCCTATGCGGGACTCGATCACAGGATCCTGGGATCATGACCTGAGCCAAGGCAGACGCTTAACGACTGAACCACCCAGGCACCCCAGCCTGTTTTTATTCTTATTTGAGATGATAATGTATGTGGGGAAGGGTGACTGTGGATGAGAGGCCGTGTCAAGGTATGCTTACTTGTCACTCTATACCCACTGTATTTCTGGGGCTCTGCATGCATGTGTTTCCTTCTAAAAGTGGAAGCAAAATTTTTTTTATTCCAAACAAACAAAATATTAACTTGTTAGTTGTACTTTATTTATTTATTTTTAGAGAGTACGAGTCTGGGGTGGGGGAGTCGGTGTGTGGAGCAAAGGGAGAGAGAGAATCTTAAGCGGGTTCCATGCTGGGAGGAGGCAGCGCTCTCACGGCCCTGAGATTATGACCTGAGCAGAAATCAACAGTCTGATGCTCAACCGACTGAGCCACCCAGGAGCCCCTTGCTAGTTTTACTTTAGGTTAACATTACCTGTCTTTTAAGTTGTTGGTAGAAGTTTTTTGTTTTTGTTAGATTTGTGTATTCCTCTCTGTCATACTCTCTGGTTACTTAAGTCCAAGAGATAATCATGAAAAGTTAAAGTAATCATGAAAGCAAGGAGATAGCATTAGGTTTCATTCATTTTTTATTTTCATTTGTTCATCCAACACAATGGATTGGCTCTCCAGTTGGACTGCTAGTTAGTTAGGCTCTAATCTAACTAACATACTAGTGTGTGTGTCAATTTTTGGTCCATGGAACCAAGACTGCCTCTATTTTTATGGTGCCCCAGAATTATTAATCCTTTTTAATACTGGGTAATTTTACACTATAAAACACAAAACCAAAGCTCCTTTTTCCTAGTCTTTTTTCCCCCTCCATTCCAGGCCAGTGTTTATAAGTAATCGATGAACTATGTCATCTACGTTCTTTTTCAGGTGAATGATTTGCTTCCTTCCTAGCTGAGCTCTTGGTTTGAGAATAGTTTGAAATCATGAGATATAAATAAATGAGCTAGAAGATAGAGTGGAAGTACAGATCTCAACAGCAACCTCAAAAAATAAACTCATGAGGAATAAACTTAACAAGAAATGTATACTTAAAAAAAAATTTTTTTTAGGGCGCCTG